ATAAGGAAGGTTAGCAAAGTAAACAAAGTCACCGCGATATTACCAAAAATAAAGAATCAATTGCATACTTCTCCTCCCCAAGAATATACGGCTCTACACCAGCACGGAAACCGCGTGGGTAGCGGCGGTGCTGATCCCATTGTGCCGATATTCGAAGTCTTGGTAATCGTCTATTCGCCAGGTTGAAGATGTGGCGTTGGTGTAGATAAATCAGACAAACTCGGCGAATTCGAGTTTATTCTGAATTCCTGGCGGCGTATTCGGCGGTTGCTGCAGGGTGATGGAGTAAATACGCAGAATACGCAGTTGAGAAAGTCGGTAGAGTCAATAGCATCTAAGGCGGTGTGGTTGCTCGTGGGGACCTCAAAGGGATCAACAAGTCGGTGCAATAATAGCAATAATGCTAGCAATAATACGCTGTATTATTATGGCTATTAAGCCGTACTAAGCCCTAAGCACGAGTCAACGGTAGGGATGTTTGAAGGTTGCAAACGTATTCCGTACCTAGCCAGCCTAAGTAAAAAGTAGTAACGGGAAACTCTGGAGAATGCCAGCACATCAATTTTAGATCTTTGGATTGTGATTGGGATGTTCTGGGTGTAAGAACATAACTAAAGTTCAATATTAGAAGCTCGGGGCGGTATTGGAACAGGTCACAGTTAGTTACCTTGGCGCAACCATCGCATGAAAACAGAGGGGTCTCGTAATCGTTGCCGGGTAACCACTAAGCTTTGAGACCCATAAATCTAGCGGCGCAGGGCGTTTCCTTCCCGCACTTTACATTAAGTATGAGTACATACGTCACTATGTACAATATCCAAGGTCTTGGATAATGCAGTTGTACACCAAGGACCTTAATGACATGGTGGAATCAAGATTTACTACTGTACAAACGGGCCATTAATAACGCTCCCTTCAATACATATATTGAGATAAGACAAAATTATTAAAAATAAAGATAGAATCTTACGATATTAAGGATATAATTATTACTTTAAATCTAACTTGATAAGTCATCCAATATTGTCAAATAAATATACACGTACGTACATTAGGTACATATAATAATGTTTGGTATGATGTGAAACCAAAACATGCACAATCATGGAGCAATGTACATATGATACACCTCACGCATAAGGCTTAAAGTACCGATACAGCTTAGGTCGCCAATGGCTGAATGCACCTTGTTTACCCCATACCTGCCCAATACACAAATCAGGATAACCCTAGCAGAGCTGGCAAGACCCGGTTCGCATCAATTATGTATATGTACCAAGTACATGCATGTATCTGTCGATGGCACTAATGTACTATGTAAGCTCTGGCATGTAATGTAAGTCACCAGAGGATGGCTGCGTCTATTGTGTGCTTTCTGTATGCATCCCTTTCCGCTTTTTTTCTTTTTTAAATGTCTTTTCTCGGATAGCCACCATGAGAAGCATCACGAAGTTACAGGAGAATGACTTGTTGAGTTTTCCCCCCCATGCTGTTCAAACGGTAAAAGGCTATCTGACGGAGTGATAATCTTATTAAATTTCCTAGATTCGGCACATCCATAATACTACATGACTACCTACGGATAACGGATAACGGCCAGGATAACACGGATACCTACGAAGTAACACCTGGAAAGATCCCAATAAGCTCCACGCTACCCCCAAAACAGCAATTTGTTGTTGGCCATAGCTCCTTTTTTTTAGAGCTTGTTACCTTTTTAGAGCTTTGTTAAACCTTGCGCCCTGACAACCGGCTTCTCCAACAATTATCACAGATTATTATCACTTTTTACTTCGTACCAAAGAACCAAAGATCCTCCCTAGCGCTGGTTTAATTACCAGCCCTCGCAGCCTTTCCCAGGTCTTCCTAGCAACCAGACTGGAATCCCCGCGTCGCTCTTTTTGCTGTTTGTATAATAGATAGCAACCCGTCTTTCACATTGCGCCGTTTGGTGTTAGAGATCTTGTGGTTGCTCCGTCTCTGGTTACTGACTCTACCGCCTTAAAGTGCGAGTCTCGATCTTTACCTTCGCTAAACTAAGCTTCAATATCTGGCAATTCTACAAGCTATAATACGAGTTACAAACATTAACGCCCTAGAGCAGGTGCTCTGCCGGCAGCATGGGGTCCGAGGCTATTGCAAGTCATTATCAAGTCCTTGAGGAACTTGGCCGTACGTGTTCACCTCGGTTCTAACTACGCCGTAATCTAGCATAGGGACAGTGCCCGCTGACCTTGTACTTCATGTAGGTGGTAGCTTTGGAATAGTATACAAGGGCATTGAGAAAGCAACGGGCGAAGTTGTTGCTATCAAACACGTAAGTGGCACATTGATCGCCAACCCTGGCGCATTAGTCGAAGCCGCTAATTTGGAGCCGCACAGATTGACCTTGAGTCTACCGATGATGATATCCAAGATATCCAGGCTGAGATCTCAGTCTTGAGTACTTGTGCTAGTTCCTACGTAACGCAGTACAAGGCTAGCTTCTTGCGGGGAACCAAGCTCTGGATTGTCATGGAATACCTTGGAGGTGGATCCTGTCTTGACCTGGTAATTATACTACCTCGCTACGCTGCGCACGGTTTCTAGATCTGACGTATCATTCTTCCTAGCTTAAACCCGAACCATCAGTCTTTAGTGAGACGCATATTGCCATAATATGTCGCGAACTACTTCGCGGTCTAGAGTACCTCCATGCTGAGGGAAAGATCCATAGAGATATCAAGGCTGCCAATGTCCTCCTCTCAGAATCGGGCAAGGTCAAGCTAGCCGACTTCGGTGTTGCAGCTCAACTTACAAACATTAAATCGCAACGTAATACCTTTGTTGGCACGCCCTTTTGGATGGCGCCAGAAGTCATCCAGCAAGCCGGCTATGACTTTAAGGCCGACATCTGGTCATTGGGCATCACAGCCATTGAAATGGCAAACGGAGAACCGCCCCACGCTAATCTCCACCCCATGAAGGCTTTGTTTCATATTCCAAAGAACCCACCCCCTAGACTAGAGGGTAATTTCTCAAAAGACTTCAAAGACTTCGTATCGCAATGCCTCATGAAGGATCCGGATCGCCGGCCGTCAGCGAGGGACCTGCTAAAACATCGATTCGTCAGATCTTCAGGAAAAGTGGAAGCGTTGCAGGAGTTAATCGAACGACGACGCAAGTATGATGCCACAAAGACCAAGAAGAGAAGCAGAACATTCTATCAAGAAACGTTACGAGACTTCTCTCCAAAGGACGAGCAGGATGAATGGGTTTTCGACACAGTCAGGTCCGTCGTTCCGAAGCAACCGACTGTCAAGTCTCGGAAGCCATCCTCAATCTTCTCTACTGAAGAAGCATTGCGCAGGATGGACCTCAAAGATGCTCCATTGCAACCTTCGTCACCTGCTCCAGCCCCGGTCACGATGCGTAAGGCTACAATGCGGAGACAACCTTCTCTGGCACAGATTTCTAATTCTGGGTCTGTACGTGGTCCACCAGCCCCTGCAATTAGACGTCCTCTCCAGCCGGATATGTCGTTCGGTAACTCGGGTTCCTCGCAACGTCTTTTCAGAAGAGTGCCTTCGGACAGTTCCACATCTGGCCAGGTGGCTTCTTCGGACTCGATACACATACTCTCAGATGAGAATAAGCGCCCTGGTGCTGTTGAAGCAACCAGCAAGGAGGCCGTGCTCGGACGGCGCTTATACTCTAAGGCGATCGAGCCTACACTCGCAGAGCTGCATGCCCAGACATCGAGTATGGCTAAGCGGGAGGCACTAGGTAAGCTATCTGACGCCCTTGCGCTATTAGACTCGGTTGATCCCGAAGGCGCGTACCATCTTTTGCGTAATTTGAATTCTGCCATTTCGCAGGACACCAAGTTGTCGAATGCATTCTTGCAACAGAATTCGGGGGTTTCTACGAAGGGATTCGATCCCACAACACCACAGGGTACACAGGGTACGGTGATTATTAAGAGTCAAACACCGACCAACCAAACCCAAAGTCCAACGAAACTTGTCCTAGCAGCCAGCAACCCTCATCTGAAGAGTCACAAAAGACGACAGGGGAGTTTGACTGTGAACGGTGTTGGTAGTCCCGAGAAGAGGGAGAAAGACCCAGAGAAAGTTGCACTACAGGCAAAGTACCCTGGTCGCGATGCTCAGCCAGGTATGGAGCATTGTAAACAGCTCTCTGACGTCTTATACGGCCGATGGGTGGATGGTTTGCGCCTGCGTTGGCCAGGTGTCTAGGACAGATGCTCGAAGGCATCATCGACTAATGAAGCAAAAGTCGCTTAGAGCAAGCGTACTTGGGAACTTGATATGGTGTAAGATCAGGGATGGGTCTATAGGATCCTAGGGACGTAATTGGACGTAACAGCAAACGACGGCGCAAAATAACGAACAGCTCGCGCTGAACACGGATGAATGGGGCATATGGACATGGCAGCTTGGACTTTGATGCGTTTTCTGCTACTAGGGGATCAGGAGGGCTATAATCTTTCTGCATTTGGGGTCCTTTATTCCAACGACTGCTATTCGCATTGCGAGGGGTGTTTGGTGCGTTCATGTTTCATGTACATCATTGTAAAGGTAAATAGGTACAAGGTTCGGATAGGAGGTAGGTTAGGTAGGCAGTTCAAGGGTCAGATAGCTAGGTTGGTATTAAATACAAACAGTAGTTTAAGAATTCAGTCCCGTTCAACGTTAAAGTATAAGATAGGAGGTACGAGATACGAGTGTGGCAGGCATAGTATAAGTCATTTAGCCCCTTATAGGATGTACTACGTATAATCAGGTCACGGAATATGATGTAGTAAGTGCGATGGTCTGGTATTCACTCTAAACTAATATCTCATATAGAGATTTGTCTCGTAAACTGCCTAAGTACAGTTACTTATTTTTTTGTGTGTTTTATCTTTTTCTACCCGTATCAGAACAGGCTACATGTGGTGAACCCCTTAATCCATCGCGATAAATTCTCAACTAGTCTAGACTTTAGATAGTTGACCCTTAGACTGCAAGTGACAGCTGGCCAGTGCCGTAGTCGATGTTCCAGACGGGCTGGGAGGTCAAGGGATTGATGGAACCGAGAGTGTGCGCGCAGGTGGCCTGGTTGGCGCCAGCTGCGAGGGTACACACCTCGTCGTAGCCTAGAGTACACACCGGGTTGTCGATGTTGTACAGGGCGGTCTTGGTGTTGCCGCAGGTTCCGTAGAAGTTCATGCCGTTGGCAGCAGAGATCGCAAGGCGGCCCTGGGGCTCCTTGATGAGAGCGGCGCAGTCGGAAAGGGGGGCGTTCTCCCAAGTGGCGTCGATGCCGCCTCCGACGGCGGGGGCGTCGCGAGCTGATTTGCCGGTGACGAGGTAGTTCCAGGCGTCGTAGGAGATGTCGTGGGCACCGCCCGAGGTGTCGACCTTGAGGAGGTGCACGGTGCGGCCGTTGGCGGTGACCTTGACGCACAGGTTGTTGCAGTCGACGGCGGAGGGCCAGTACGCCACGCGGTTGGTGTCGATCTTGCAGCCGAGCACGCCGGCGGAAGACGAGTAGCGGTCGTGGGGTGTCACGGAGATGCTACCCCGTGCTTTGACGGAGGGGGGGATGGCAGAGGCACAGACGGCGGCGGCCGAGGCGACAAGGGAGAGGGTTTTGCTGAAGAGCATCTTGGGTGGTGATAATGATAGTGATTGGTAGTAGTGGTAATAATAGAGAAAGACTGTAGTGAGTGAAGACTAAGGAGTGTCTGGGTTGGATGAGTAGTCTGATGGATCTACGACTGAATAAACAAACGACTCTACACCGCGGGGAGGCCTCTGTTTATATAGAAATCCATGGGCAGCGAGGGGATTCCGCCGTAGCTGCCTTCTGTTACAGAACTAAAGAGCTATTGCCCTCGTTACGACATTAGAGTCACAAACATCTGCTCGAATCCAAGTGGATTATCACGATACAACCTAGCAACAAGGAAACAACTACGCCGTTGTACCCAATCAGCAGCCGAACAACGTCGGTACAGCGTGCCGTACCTGCACACATAACATAACCCTTTGTTCACCTGGCAGGAAGTGGTTCTACAAGTGCAAATACAGTACTAGAGTACACCTGACAGGTGCTGACACAAGTTCACTTGAAGTTATTTGCTAGGTACTTAGGGCCTGAATAGCCTCATTAAGATAGATGGCAGGCACGGATTAGGAAAGTGCGGCAGGTGCTCTAGCAAAAGATCCTAGTCAGGTATCCTTCGGGGATGCCCTTCGGTCTTTACAACTACGGTACCTATTTGTTACTAACAGGATATCCCTTTTTTTTCTTCTTCTTCCTCACTGGGGTAGGAACAGGAAGGTGACATAGTCATGGGAAGGATTGTAGCCGTTTCTGAAATGCTGAAATGCTGACTTGGTTTTCTTTTTCTTTTTCTTAAGTAGAATTAGACAAGGAATACTTGATGAAGGGGTTTTTTTAATCCTTTCATAGTAACATGCTTGACCTATAAATCTAACTACCACCAACCTACCCAGGTACATAACAGGTCTATTAGTAGTTAGTTACCTACCTACCTATTCCTAATAGAAGAAGCCCGTAATATTTCTTGCATGAGACCCCAGTCCCAAGTTGTCCAGGGGTGAAGTAGTTTAGTACGAAAGGAGCAACATATCAAAGCCCATATTCGGATCGGTAAGCCGTAAAGAATGGCCATTATGTATGCTACCACGTTTTGTATTCTACCACGTTTTTAGATTTTATTAATAGTTAACTAATAGGAAAAAGATCTTCGCAATGCAAACAATATCATAGGTTACCAGATCTTCTCCCCCATCTACAAACACGTGGTCTAGATCTTGCAGATAATCGCAGGGCTACCCACCCATCTTTCTACATACGGCGCATTACGGAATATATACCTTAGGTACCTGATGTACACTAGGTAATATAGCGGACATGATATGCGCGCATGTTAATATAAGCTTAATTTTCTGCGGCGTGCATCGTTACTTCGAATATATAAGTCCTTTCCGCAAACACTCCGAGTGGTTTTGTATGTAACGGGCGTTAGTTACGTACCCCCCTGCCCTCCCTACGTGCATACGTTAAGGTATGTATGCTAGAGGACCCTGTCGATCTTTTTTGGTTACGTCGTACCTACATAGGAGGTGACGTACATGGACGTATCTACATACGGCAGCTTGTTAATCGTGAATCTAAATTCGGATCGTGCAGAGATTGGAACCACTGAATATGTACATATATACCGTAGTCGGGATGGGCCGGCCGTCTTGGCTTTCTGCAGGAACAGTTGACTCGATAGGGTTAATTTTCTGTTAATGAGTTTAATCGTTTTACATATTATTTGACAATTGAAGTCCTTATGTATCTACCCGGTATTGACGTTTTTACTACCTGCATCGGCCGCCGGGCCATCCGGATTATATTCAAAGGGAAAACGCGCCTAAGGTATAAACTCTGCGTAACCTCTAGTTAACTATTTAATTCAATCTCTTACCACATCTTCCCTGCTCATACATGACCAGATGGATATAATTACGCATCAAAGCGCATCTCGAAGGCTCTTCCGATTTTATTTCCAATCGTCAAGCATAACAAACTTTTCGGGTCCCTTAAAGCAAATCACTATTAAACCCAAGATTATATATATTGTCCAATTCATATCTTGATATTAATGCGTACTAGCAAACCAGAAACGCAGAGTCCTGTCCGTCACGCAAACCAAGGTCCTCTATTACCCAAGTTCTATGTGAAACGACAGCATCTAGGGTATCTTTTTCCTATGTTAGCTACCTTCTAACTCTTGCGGTACAAACAGCCGCAATGGATGATAAATCCATCTTCTTCACTCCCAGACCCAGATAAATGCCAGAAATACCCCTGCTCCATGCTCAATCGAATTAAATAAATCGCAAATGACTAGCAAAACAAGACCGATGTCGTCTTCATCCCTTAGGACCCGTCGTCCTTAAGCCTGGCTATCTCTCCAGAGGATGTTCCTTTTGCGCCTTTTCCCTTAACATATCCTCCACCTCCCTGCTAGCCTCGCCGTCGGCAGGGATGCCGTTGTCCACGGGGTACTTTAAGAAACCCTTCTTCTCGACCTCGCGGATCTTCTCCATGAATATATCCGCCATCATGAAGTACCCCGAGCTGGTAGGGTGGATGTTGTCGTGGCCGATGTCTTCGGGCCTGGGCCGGCGAGGAAGTTCCTGGTCGTAATGCATTTCCGCCAGCGCCACTGGCTTCCCCTCCCGGATCAGATCGGTAGCTGCCTGCCGGATCTGGGCGTTGGCGCTCTTCATGCACGGCTCGAACTCCATTCTCGGCGTCGTTACGATGGTCGACATGATGACCGTAGCCCGCGGCGAGGCTTCTAGCAGATACTCGACTAGATCGCGCATTCGCGACATGATGTTGGCGGTGTCGTCGTTTTGGAAACAATCGCTGGTGCCGACCTGTATAAGCACGAGATTCGGCTGCAAGTATGGCACCGACTGCTCTGCGTGTTTGCGAACCTGCCTGATCCGATTTGCACTATAGCCTTCGACGTCGTTGTCGATAAAGTTGCCGAACCGGTTGAAGCCGACGCAGTTGACCGGATTGCCCCGCGACGTAAGCTCGTCACGAATATGCTTCCGATATCCTCTATTGCCCACTGATTCTTCGCCGCGCGTGACCGAAGCGCCTAGGAACATGATGCGCAAAGGCGTCCCGCCCGCTATAACGCTGTTAGGCGATGGCTCTCCCTTACCGTGGGCGAGGAGATGCCATTGGTACATGACGTCGACGTCGACGGTCCATACGAAGCAGAAGAAGACTATAAAAATCATACATATTAGTCTAGTTGTGGACATGCGGCTCTTCGTGTCGCTGGAAACGTACTTATTAATGACAATGCGACTACGGAAGCGCCCACTAACCTATAAATATTCGGCATCGTTTAACCAGACGGCGACCACGAATAGTTAAAACAGTAGAATACTCGCCCTACGGTCTTGTGAGTGGATTTTCTCATAGTTTATCTTTATCATTGATATCATGGTTCTGATTTTACACAAGAGCGCAAGAAAAATATAATAATCTCTGACAATATCTTCTATTATTGCTGCCTTCCAGTTTCAGATACACTAATTCTACCGTTTCCAAAATGCCAATCTTCCCCTTTTTTTCTCGATAAATTTGGAAAGCCGACGAACACGTCGGCAAAGACGGCACGGGTTGCACAATAGGTACTTACGTCACGCACCACACCAACCCTTGGCGGTAGCCACAAGTGTAGAGAATCGTCGCCAGGGAGCCAGGGAGCCTCCAATCTCGCCAATGACGAGGCTGCTATACGTGGCCTGCACGTGCGGGATGCGACCCTAGCCCTAAATCCTACAATGCTGGTATTAACGAACGACGTCGTAAAATATCTCCTTTTCTCTCCGTGGCTTAGTTGCCCAGCACGGGTTATATTACTTCGTAATTCGCGGAGACATACGAGGCGTAAATCTCTTGTGCGACTCCGTTCTTACTGCTGCTAACGTTAAAAGAGAAAGATCTTCGTGGGAAGGAGATTCTTTTATTATCCCTTTCCTAGGCACGAATGTGAGTGTTGGAGGTATTTGTTCTCCTTTGACTATCATGGTACGAACCGATTGATCCATATTTAGCCAAATAATTAGTGTTCGACACCATAGTCTCCCGAGATATATATATATATATATATATATTTAAAAAAGTCGAAACTGAACATATACGTTCAACGCGCCCGCCCCGAATGCGTGGCGCGGTCTGTTTCATGATTTCCGTCCGCGACACCGTCTTCGTAAGTTATAGCGTCACTTGACAAGAATGTTCGGAACGGTTCTCCGGTATTTCTGTTCATCTTGAACCTGTACTGCACGGTTTCGGCCTCCTTCGCCAGGCCGAGATCCAACAGGAGATCAATAAGGTCGTACTCGGTCCCCTCCATGTCCGCGTCGTGGCACTCGTAAATCATCCGCCACACATTCTCCTCTGCAGCGCTGGCAGCGAATTGTGCGATGCCAGTACATATTCGGGCATGCGTTGATACCCAGTGGCCGTCTAGCGAGCCGGCTGCTGTGCAGAATTCAACTGTTGCCTTGGGATCTTTATATTCCGTATTTTCGTCGCTATAGTAGTTGAAGTTGTATACGCCAAGAGAGTTGTGGTTGATTAGGTACGCGACTGCGCCGTAACTGCGACAGCCGAAGAGTTGTATGGCCCCTTGTAGGATATTAGGACGGTCAATACGTGTCAAGGGTCGACCAGGGAGGTAAGGTCTATATGGGCCAAGGCATATATTTCGTTCTTGGAAGAGGATAAGGTTAAAATCGTTACGCGACAACGTACGCTTGAACTCGGTCGAGAGTCGCTTCGGCCGCGCTCTATTGACATACTCTAATATGGGGATGTCTTGCTTTTCAACGGGTATAGCTTTTACCTGTTCCGCCTCTTCTACCGCTTCCGCTTGATCGAGTCTAGCCGTTTGGCGCCGAGCCCCGTGCCACCTGTTGTAATGGCGCGAAATAGGATGCATTTGCTGTAGGAACCGGTCGACGGCCCAGCAAATGGCAGCTATTCTTATAAAAATTGGGAAGGGGACCAAGTTAGATCCTGCGCCGACGAGGACGCGCATTTCACAACATGGCGGGACTGCAGCCCGAAAACTCGCACGTAGCATGTTGGCGACAGCCTCGACTTCTTTGAAGCTGCCTTCGGTGGCGTACATCATCGGTGACTGGACCTCTAGGTCGAGCTTCCAAAGACCCTCATACTCTGGCCGGGGTTCGGGGTCTCGTATCACGGTGGCCTTGTTGGTTTCGACCTTCCAATCTTGGTACCGACTTAATACGGGATCGCCTTCTAGGGAGGCAACCTCGCCGCGGCAAGATTGGGGGAGTCCGCAAAGACAGTTTTCAATCGCACACGACACGCGGCGTATCATCTCGGCTTTTGTATCATCCCAGCGGCCGTAATCGTGCATTGTAAAATCTGGGTTCCCCTGGGGCGACATGTCAACCACGGGGGCCAGGTGTGGATCATTGTAGATGTCGACAGGGCCAAGGGTGAAGAAGTATACAGCTTCTAGTTCGACGCTGAAGGTGAGGGGGTCCATGTCGGCGGGAGAAGTGGTTGTTTAGTTAAGTAAAATAGTATCCGGTTCGAGAAGTTGGTCCTGGTGAGTAGATGGGCGGGTTTCGCGTATAAATAGCTCCACATGTGTATTCTGGTGTATTGTAATGAATAAAATATGTTGGGAGCGAGAGCATTTGGATATATATATATTAATGTGCTGTGTTGATGGTAATGGGGTTTCACTACCCCAGCTTTGACCTCGACAATAATCATACTGGTGACTAGGTTGCAAGCTATATTATTATGTGATAGATAGCCTTTGCTCTAATGAGAAATGCCTGAGCTGATAAGGGTACGTAAGCATAGTGTTTCTTTATACCAAGCTTGTCATAGCTAACTTAGCCTAATCGTATAGACTAATGGTTGAAACCACCGCCTGTGCTGTTGTTGCCTGTTATTATACTTCGAGATCTGCCATGGTGTGGCTCGGACTCCTATAGAGTTATTCTTCTGAATGTTCACCGTGCTAGAGCAAGGCAGTCCTAAGTATAAAAGTTGATACAATATCAAAGAAATCATTTTCTAGACCTTTCGCGAGGGTGAACCTTATGCTATGTAGCTGATCTTCGTGATCCCTTTTCAGACTTTCCAGTGTTTTGAGCCGCGTTTGTAAGTTCTTGTATGCTTAGCTGTTAGTTATACTGCTAGTTGTAAAGGTTGATCGTCCGGGTTGTGCAGATCCTGAAGCTTGCGTATGTCGTGAAGGTTTAGGTAGAGGGTTTTGCGTGATAGGATTTGAGTCTGATTCGGATGAAGAGATCTGTGCCACTGGTGTTTTTTGTGTTGTTACTGCTGTCTTCTTAGCCTTATTACGTTTTTGAGATATAGTATAGTTAGGTAGTTAGTTAATTGGATTTTGAACTTAAAGTAGTAAGGAAGCCTGTGTAAATATTTGGTTGAAAAAGGTATAAGTTAGTGTAGGTGCCTAAAGGTTAAATACGATGCCGCTCAAAAGTATTTGTCGTTACAGCTGAAGGCCTTTAGTACGAAGTATGTATTGTACCTAACCCAGCACTATTGGGCTAGTGGAGTTATTGGTGCTGGCCCTAGCTGGCCCAGCCTTTCACAGGTACCTTTGTAGTGCAAACCCCACTACGCGCGAGAAGGTCGAACCTAACCGTCAACCGTCAAACGTCAAAACGTCAAACGCACGTGAATCGAAAAGATACCGTACAATACATCCAAAAACTATTGTCTACAACCCTATTGGGTAACACAATCGTGGGATCTATGAAGCTGGATTGAATATGCTATCATAGTACTCAAGGGTCTCTATAGTGTTTCGCGATAGGAAGGCCTAAACGCGTCTTCCCTTCTCACCAGAATATCCCGGGCAGGATTTGGGCCAAGCATCACTCAGTTCAATAGATACTTATTACCTACCTATATATGAGCCCGCCTAGAGAGACAAAATTATGGAAAGTTTCCTTCGAGAATGGAGGCAAGACGCCTTAAACAAAGCACAGTACGAGTCTGCTATTTTCATTGGGGACAAACTTTTGGCATTAACTAGTGGGTTTGATATTTGTTGTTTATGTCTGAACTCTGAAGTCCATACTAAACTTGTTCTGTAGATGACGACAATGACGCGTTTTGGCTGGCGCAAGTTCATTTTGCTACCGGGAACTATACCAGAGCTCAGACCTTCCTATCTAAACAGGATCTCATTTCTCGGAATCCCTCTTGTCGGTACCTGGCCGCTCACTGCTTCATCAAGCAGTCTCGGTTTGATGAGGCCCTTGTGGTGCTTGGTGAACGAAATCCCACACACTTAATTTCTAATCCTGCAACTAAGCGCAAAATTCAGCACACGGGCACACGTACTGCCTCTCACCACGGAAGAGGCGCCACTAAAGCGCACGAGCGTAGAGATGGGCTGTCAGAGGAAGAAGCAGCTAACAAGCGCTTTGAAGCCGCCATGTGCTTTCTACGAGGCATATGCTATGCCAAGCAGAACGCATTCGATCGGGCGAAGGAGTGTTACAAAGATGCTGTTCGCATCGACGTCCAATGCTTCGAGGCGTTTCAGCAGTTGATGAAGAACTCACTCATGTCTCCTGATGAGGAATGGCAGTTTTTGGAGTCTCTGGATTTCGATGCAATTAACGTCCCCGGAGACTCGTCTTCCTCGCAGGAGGCTGCCGAATTTACGAAGATGCTCTACACTACTCGACTCTCCAAGTACAGGAACCCAGCATCTTTTACAACTGCTTGCGAGACTCTATCTACACACTATAACCTCGCCTCGAACCCAGACCTATTACTTGCCCGAGCGGATTTACTGTACACTCAATGCAGATATAAAGATGCGCTCGCAATTACCGAGTCTGTGCTTCAAGAAGACAAATACAACTTCAGCATATATCCCTTACACCTAGCCTGCTTGTACGAACTGAGGATGAAAAATGTACTCTTTCTAATCTCGCACGACCTCGCCGATACGCATCCGGAAGAACCCTGCACATGGCTCGCCGTCGGCATTTACTACTTCGCCATCGACAAGATCGCCGAAGCCAGGCGCTACTTTAGTAAAGCTAGCATGATGGATCCGCACTTCGGGCCGGCCTGGATCGGATTTGCGCACACGTTCGCGGCCGAGGGCGAGCACGACCAGGCTATATCGGCGTACTCCACGGCGGCGCGGCTGTTTATGGGCACGCATCTGCCCCAGGTCTTCCTGGGGATGCAGAACCACGCGCTCAATAACATGACTCTGGCCGACGAATTCCTCAAGACGGCCTACGGCCTCTGCAAGACGGACCCGTTGCTGCTCAACGAAATGGGCGTCGTTTATTACCACCAAGACCGGCCCCAGGATGCCGCCACGCTCTTCCTCAAGGCGCTCGAAGTCGCCGAGGATATCGACTCGGAACCTAACGCCTGGATCTCGGCGCGCATCAATCTGGCACACGCATACCGCCGCGCCAAGCGCTACGACGAGGCGCTGGAGCAGTTCGACGAGGTCTTAAGGCAGGGCGGCAAAGACGCGTCGATATTCGCGGCCAAGGGCTTGATATACATGGAACAAGGAGGCAAGTTCGACCTGGCTGTCGAAGTGCTGCACCAGGCCCTCGCTATCCACCCCCAGGACCCCATCGCGACGGAATTGTTAAACAAAGCGCTGGACGAGACGGCCGGCCTGTTACCTTGACATTGCATGTGGCGGCGTAGCGAGGCTGGCTGGCCTGAATACCTACCTAACTTATGAGCAATGATGAGTAATGCCTACATATGTACATGTATGTGTTGTGGTCTTTGTAGACTAGGAAGATGTCTCGGATGAGAATGACTAATGCTATTGCTTATACCGTCTTATGTTCTACTCCTTTGTCTGGACGACGTCTCCCCTTTTCGAAAATTCGTATGTATGCCTTGCTGACCGCCTATCGTGGCCTAGGCCATCGGCCCGCGTCTGGATATGTATGTACCTACCTGTACCTTGCATGAGAGGCTGGCTGGCTTGCTCTACATAGGAGGCAACTCATCGATCGTGGCGCATCTGCCCGAGCTGACGGATCGACTATGTATGTATCTTGAAGTTCGTAATTTTAATCATACCTACCTACCTACCTAGTTGGCGCGTCGATTTCTCGCTGGTTATAACCGTGTTTGAATGGCTTAGTTATTTGCTTTTTATCATGTAACTACCAGTTGTCCAAACTCCGAATTGATTATTTCTATTTCTTAGGGGTTGAGTGTACATACATCCTATTACGCGTCACGTTAATTACCTACCTACTATGTATGTACACTACAACTGTGCCCTTGCGCCTGGATCGATACGTGATAATGATTATTGTTATTATTATTTTTTCTCCCAGCCCGCGGACACGGACAGGGAGACGAAAGAGCGGTCAAGGTAAACGAAATATGTAATTGCCCGGGCAATAGAGCACGGAGCTCAGGTAAGTTGTGATAGTAATATGGAATGATAAAATTGGCGAGGTGATGATGATGGCTGATGTGTCGCGATTGCTTCGGCCGTGCCCATCCATCTTACGGCGACGTTGTTGGGCTGGTGGTCACATTCCGGGCTATAGGTATGTGACATAGGTAATGTGCTGATCACATCGTGCCAATGTCCACTATGTAGTTACCTAACCCTTACATGCCGTACGTAGTAGTTATGAAGTCATTAGTTAGGTAGATCGTCCCGTCGTTATGCTTTCCGTCGCCTTGGTATACCCCCTAAAATTAGGAGGCCCGGGTCTTAGTTGACGGTATATTGGAAGGAGGACTTTTACCTAAATTATCTATTATCTACATAACCTGTCGTTGTATGTAGGTATTCCGTACCTGACATGCTGTAGTATAGGTATGTGCTACATTGCACATACAGATATACATACATACATGTTGCCATGTGGGAAAGCCGGGGGTCCCATTCCTCTGTTCATTACTACGTAACGCTAGGTAGCCCGAGCCGTTTTTGCGCCGCGTGGGGGCGAGCAAACTCGGCCTTGCTGATCTGTTGATCAGCTCCGAGCCCGGACTAGGTAGAGCGTGAATCGTATGTAGGTATATACCTACATACATACATAGGACTTGACTTCAGACTGTTTAAGATTAACTAAGCTTTCGAGTGTTTGTGGTTATGTATCCTCGTCAGGCCCCAAAACGGTATCTTTTTAGGAGCGAGTGCCGTGGTCGTTAAGGCCGACAAGGTAGGCTTTTTTTTTTTTCTTCGTCCGCAACGTGTTCTTGGGACGTTGGTGGGCCACCGTCGCATCGGCAGCCACGCAAGCAAGGGAGAGGCAACGATCTCAGATAAAGGGGTTCATTCCTTGCGTGATTGCGTCGAAGCTACAGAATGTCAACCCGTTGGCGGTACTGGTAAATAATCGACCCAATCTTTTCTGCCTTGCAAATCCCGCTCGGGTTTGCTTGTCATGGATACCTTAGGTATGCTTTGACCCGGCTTCTCGTATTGAAGAAAGTAAGCTTCTGTGTGCATCTTGCTATGGCAGTGGAAGTTTGCGCAATTGTGAAGGATAGCATGGGTTATCCCAGCGTCGCCCACCTATGTACGGATTACATAGTGGATGGATTTTCAAAGTTGATTTCGTACATAGCAACTTGAGATTGCGGGTAGAGAGAAAAGGGGGACCTGGCGTGATATCGATCAGCACTCTATTTATCCTATGCATTAGGTACGGA